AGATATAAATTATATTGAAGACATTTCTTTACCAATTGCAATTGGTTGCAAAAGATCACATAGTGAAGAAAACATTCAACAGGCTCAGTGTATTCTTTGTCAAGAAGAACAGCTTTTAGATAATGAAAATTCCTTCATTGTTATGATATTTGTTAATGAATCAAGTGTTTTTCATTTTCAAAATAAGAAAAGTGAAAACCTGCAACCTTCTTTTTGTGATAATTCAGCTTGTGTAAATGTATCTAGCTGTGGTCATATTGCTCATGGTAAATGTTGGGATAAGTATTATACTTCAAGATTTAGTACAAGTGCATCTACTTTTTTTTCAAATCGACTAAATACTATTGATGTATCAAAATCTGAGTTTTTGTGTCCTTTATGTAACTCATTGTGCAACTCAGTACTTCCACTTCTCCCGAGAATTGTGGAATCTCTGCCAGTTAGGTAAATTCAAATGAATAAATTATAAAAGATTTTTGTTACTTAATATTATATATATATATATATATATATATATATATATATATATATATATATATATATATATATATATATATATATATATATATATATATATATATATGTACTTAAATTTAAGATAAATCGAGGCTTTATTATTATTATTTTTTCATTTGTGTATTTTAATTTGCTAATATTTTTTTAATTATTGTTTTGTATTGAATAAGAAATAATAGCTTGCGTAACCAACGACCATAGTAGCTTGGCAACTAGAATTTAAGGACAAGAAAAAGGCAAAAGAAAAAGCAGATGCTAACTTTGTAATGGATTATATAATCACTATAATAAAAGCTTAAATAGAGGACTCAGTTAGAGTTAAAGATAAGTAAGAATAGTAAGATATTAATAAGAAGATAGTGAAAGGCGTCAGAGCAATCTCCAAAGGTTTTAAAAGTTGGAACTGTCATCTCCAGCTGACAGGAAAACAAAATTCAGTTAAACATTTTAAAAATATTTTAGAGAGAAATAAGGAGATCTCTGGAGAACACTTTTTTGACACACTTTCTAAGGTACACTACATCAAAGTTTATGAAATAGACTAGCATGTTAGAATTTATCAAAAACATTTGTCGAGATCAATAGCCCTTGTCTTGTTGCTTTCATCTAATGTATGGTAGAACCAAACATAAGAATCAAAGTTCATATTGATTGTTAGATATTGTAAGTTGCTAGACTCAAGATGAAATATTAGAAGTTTTTTAAGTAATGATTGTTTTTTAAGATAATAATAAAAAGATAGTGAGATAATAATAAGAAGATAAGTATGAATAGTGAGATAATGATAGTGAGATAATAATAAGATAATAATAATAAGATAAGAATAGTTACATAATAAGAAGAAGATAAATAATGATAGTGAAGATAATAAGGAGATCTTTTAAGAATACCTTTGTGACAGAAAAGTTGTTCAGAACAAAGGTTGTAGAGGAGTTAAATGAGAAATAATATTAACAATAAAAGCAAAGGAGCAGGAGTGATTCGAATGTCTAGCGTGAGTTACCTTTTTTTTCAAGGTAGTGACAGAAAGAATGTGGTCATTAGTTCAAGAGGAAAAGTTCTTGTAAATAATCCTTGAGAGAGGTATAAAAAATCATATCCATTGATTCTTGATGTTGTTTATATGAAGGTTTTCCCTAGTAAAAAGTTTAAACTATTAAGTATTAAACTAAAGCATCTTTAAGAAACTGTAGTTAAAATTTTAAAATGAATAAAAGATTAATTGCAAAACTTAACACAAACATTTTATGATGAAAATGAGAGCGTATTAAATGTGTGTACATCAAAATATAATTTTTAATTTAGAACTCAGTTTTATCAGTTTTTTCAAATTACAGATAAAATTTTGCAGATTACCATATTGCTGGCATAAAAAAATTGATAAAAATAAAGAATGTTATTTACAGGGATTATCTTTTTCTGGATATTTCCAGAATTTCAGATATTTTTCTTAACTTTTAGTTTTTCTGGATATCTAAACGTTTTCAAAACATACAAGTTTGGGTATTTATTTTTGTAATATATTTGTTTTTTAAGCTTTCTTACTTATCATTCACACAAAATTAGGTTAAGTTTGAAAAAAACTTGGAAGTAAAAGCAAAATTACAAGGGATTGGAATTAAAATTACAAGGAATTGGAATTACAATGAATTGGAAGTAAAAGCAAAAACTTTGAACTAAAAGCAAAGTTACAAGGAAATAAGGGAAAATATATTCCGAATTTTTTCGGGAGATTTTACCTGTTACAGTTTTCCGGATTTTTAAAATATAACTTGGATGATCTATGTATATAGAGAAAAGTAAAATCAAGAATTGGAGATTAAAAAAAGAAAATAAAAAACAAAATTGGTTAATAAAAAAATACAGGAATATTATAGTTGCTTGGTACAGATTAACCAAAAACTAATATATATGTTCGTTAGTTTATAAAATAGTTGAATATATCATATTTAACTAAAATTAGTTTATGCAAAATATTACTAATATTTTTTTCTAGTTTAAATACCAGAGTCTTCTAGAGCACCCGTACCCTCTAAGAATATTGTAAGAGTTTGAAATAAAATTGACAAATATTACTATTGCTAGTTTGAGGCATCATATTGCTTTAAAAGATACTCTGGAAGCAGTGGCAGCAACACATTGATATTTAACTTATAACATAAAATGATCACATGATCATAAAAAGTTAAAAGGGTATAAGAGAAGTTAGCAGTGGAATTATGTAATAAATGAATAGTAAGGTTTTTTACTTTTTTTTTTTTTTTTATTGGCAGAAAAAATTTGAAAAAAGCATAGTTTAGATTAATGCTATTTCGCTATGGTCTTTGACAAAACCAATCAGTCTTTTTGTAGAACCTTTAAGAACCAAAAAAAAATTAAATTTAAAATTTAATTATTTAAAATTAAAAAAAAAATTTTTTTTTTTTTTTTAATTTTGAAATTTAAAATTAAAATTAATTATTTAAAATTAAAAATTTTTTTTTTTTTTTTTTAATTTTAACTTTATTTTAATGTACTGTTTTGTAAAAATGTTAATATATCTATTTTTTATGGTATGATAATGTATGTTGATTGAAAAATTTAAGACTATTTATTTTACAGCGAAGATACAGATATGGTTAGTCTAACAGAATTGCTTGCTTATATGGATAAGTTTTCTTCTGAATTGTCTCGTAATCAAACAAAAGGTTTGGATTTTTTTTAAATATAATATATGTTTAACTTATTGAAAGAAATTCAACATAGTTTTTTATAGTAGTATTTTCAGTAGGTTTCAGATACAACTAATTAAAAATATACAGTAGAATACTAGTGCTGTAATGTTGTAGAACTTTTGGCTCATAATCAAGAGATTTGAGGTTTAAACTCTACTCCTCTTTTAGGGTTGTGATCAACCTGTTACTCTGTGCAGCTTCTTTATATATGCATATACATACATACATACATACATACATACATACATACATACATACATACATACATACATACATACACACACATACATATCAGCCTGGACAGGAGTAGTGTGCTATTGAGCACTGTTGCTGACCACACAAATGATTGTTTAGTTTACTTTAAAAACTTATATTTTATGCACAAAATATTTTTACAAATTATATCTAATGATTGTTTAATGAGATCCCCAACTGTCAAGACAAGTTGTGTTCATATTAAAGAAAATGTTTAAGAAAAATATTTGGGCTAAATTTTTTTGATTGAAACTAAATAATAAATGCATACCAACAAAATTAAAATTATTGTTTTAGTCGAAGCTCGCCTTCTCCATTTTTCTTTGGTTCTCTGGGTCTGTATAATGTTAGCCGCAATCTGCAGACTTAATAATTTATTCCATGCATGTTAATTCATAACAGTTTCTGTATATGACGTCATCGCAATATCTTTTTAAGGTTTTTTTCTTGTTTTTTTTTAAAGATATAAGTACTTTTTCTACTCCAATCAGAAAATCAAATATTTGTATAATTTTTTACTAAATCACAAAAAATATTTGTAATTAAGTAAAAAATTATACAAATATATATATATATATATATATATATATATATATATATATATATATATATATATATATATATATATATATATATATATATATATATATTTATATATATATATATATATATATATATATATATATATATATATATATATATATATATATATATATATATATATATATATATATATATGTTTATATATTTTTTTTTACTTGCTTTATTACTTTGTTTTAAAAGCCAGCCAAAAACATGACACAATTATACATATTTTGTGATTATTAGAGTTTGCAGGCAGAGAAAAAATAAAGGCAGTATGATGCGGTTTCTTGTTTTATATTTAGTTCATATAGTTTAATAGAGTTGTTCATTTTATGTTTAATTTACATTTAGCAAGCCTCTGGTAGCGGCTTTCGAGTATGCTTTACAATTTATCTTGTTTTGTATATAAATTTTCATTCTAGACACATAGAATTTGTTTGTTCTAAAGGTTTAATTAATTCTCTACATAATCAAGAAAAAATAAGAACTATATTATGTTATTATAAAAAAGTTATCACAAAGTTAAAAAATCTTGAATAATTCTTCATAAAAAAAACTTCTTTTAATTTGGTTATAAAATAAAACAGCGTTAACACTGTAAAACTTCACTTGTAGAAGTGTTAAGTATTTAGTTAAGTACTTACCAAAGTATCTTGAAGAAAAAATATTTTTTTTATTCATTAAATGAGGTTTGTTTCAGACTTAATGTTTTAGTTACTACTTATAAAAACAATAGTTTTAAGCACTTTGCATTTCTTATTGTTTAATGATGTCTGTTAAAAACTTTATTATCAAATTTTAATTAGTTGTCAATGTTATTCCAAAATAGCATTTTGGAATAACATTTGAATATTAAGTCTTTTTGTTTGGCTGGTATTATTCAAACAAAAGTCTTTTATTTGAATAAAAGACTTTTGTTTGGCTGGTAGC